ATTATAGTGGTAGACCCCTAGCATATTAGTGAAGCTTCCAGTTTCTGTTGAACTGGAGAAAAATGTGGTGTTATATGTGATGTGCCACACCATCTGTACTCCTTTTTTCAAAATTCTACATCTGCCCATTGTTAGACTAAATGACTCCATGTGGTCCCTCCCAGCTCTACTTTCCTATGATCCTATATGGCCAATTTCTGACCATGAGTATCCCAGTAGAAGTCATGGAACTGCTTTTCATGTGCTTAACATTAAGCATCTGTTTAAGGACCTTCCTATCAAGGCCACCACTTTTTTGAACATTTGGATACATTACCCTCGGAACAGTAGGGCAGTAGTAAAGCCCAAATCCATATCCTTTTTTGGGGGGGTGCATTGAAATCATTCTTCAGGTCTCTGTCTTGTCCTTCACACCCACATCTACCATTGAGCAACAAATTCATTTCACTTTAAAAAACAAAACAAACTAGAAGGGTATCTTAGGTTTCACATTGCCTAATTTATTTTCTTTTAATTTCATATTGTTTCATTGTTTGGCCTTGCTGGGGCTCTTCTTTATGTGCCTCAGGGTTTGTCTACAAGAGTGGTTTTTCTACTGAAAAACAAATTACACCTACATAGAAAGAACTGCATTCACATGACTCAGTGCCTTAGTACAACATAACTCATAAATTACTGTGGTGTTTCTACTGTTGTTGGAATCATCAGTAATTTCACCCCACAATGTTACATGGTAGTAATGTTTGTGAGATTGTTTTGTGCTCTGAACTATTTTGGCAGTTCCTTTCCCACTCGGCTTCACTGTCTGTCCCAGCCAGCCAGTATATTTATCGGTGTGCTCTTTGTTAATCTGGATCACAAATACTGGATGTCACTTCCCTATTTACATGCTGGCACTCGTCCAGGTTCTGTCCATTTTGCTTGCATGACCCAGGATTCAGCAGACCTAGCGCCAGACCTACTTATTATCTCTGTGCTATGCCACCTTTTTGTGCTTCCTTGCATGTGATCATGGATTTGGGAAGAGGTGAAGTAGCAGGGATCTCTGAAATGCAAACCTAGAAATAAAGATGGTTTTGGGGGAGTTTTCTGAGGTGATGACCAAGCAGGGTCCCAGGGGGATGCCATGCAGTGCTGCATTAAAACAAAGGATCTGAGATGGCTTACAGGAAGGCTAAGTACAAAAAGACCTCTGGCTGTACCCAAGCCATCTGTCAATATTATAATAAGCTGGTGAGGCTTTTTGGCACAGCGTACCAGCGTTGACCTCCACCTCATCTTGGAAGCAGCTGATATGCAAAAGAACACCAAAGGCTGCATGATGAAGATGAATCTGACAGCTCTTCAATACACAGGAGCCTGACTGAGACCATGTGAGAAGAGCCTGGATGCCCAGCCCCAGAGTCCACATTTGTCCACAATGCCAGACTGTCTCCTGCCCCTGAGTGCACTCAGGCTGCCAGCAGCACTGCAAAGGAGACAGGTAAGTATCATTCTGTTTGCCCTTGTTAAAAGTCATTGCATTGCTGTTTAGTCACATGGATCATGGATGTGCCTTCCAATGTTAGGGCTACCTGCAGAAGAATAGCAATAAACAGATGGGCACATGAAGCATTATCCTATCCCCCTATATAACCTTTAAAAATGCTATTGGGGCATCAGCCCCCTCATCTCTGCCCCTCTAATATAAAAAGCAATGCAATAGAACAGCAGTCCATCATTCTGTGCATGGTGAGCAATAACTGCTTCTTGGTTTACTTTTTTTTTTTAGCAGAGTCTGCACATGAGGCTTCTAGCTCCTTAGGACATCAGTACTAACCACAGACGAACATCTAGAAAACTAGCAAGCAAAACAAAAAAAAATGCTTGCTGACTTACTGCAAGACTTTGAGAGAAGAGGGCTTCAGGAACAGGTTTCTCAGGACTGAGAAGCAAAAGGACAGGGAGGTCTTTTCATGACTGAGGAACTCTTGGAAAAGTAGATCTTTGTGACTGAGGAGCTAGTAGAAAAAGGCTTATGGTGATGAGGTATAGCCTTGCTGTCACCTGGGAGACTACAGAAATGGACAGACGGACACAGAGCTGCACTGCTTTACATCTGCCTCAAGATTGTATAGCCCTGGCTCTCCAGATTTTGAAGAAGCCCCTCCTATTGGGACCACTATTTTTGCTTCAAGAACCCCTAGTCACAGCTCCTGTGTATCCAGCAATGAAAAACAGCAGCTTAGAAGAGCCATTTTTTTTGATCCTTCCAATCCAAGCATGGAGTTAGATGCCTTTTCCAGACCCTGAAATTCTGGAGGGGTCATCAGTTGGAAAGCCTAGTCTCAGTAACTGCAAACTATTTTGTAGTGAGCCAGGAGCCCCAAACTGAACTGAACTGAAATGTCCTTTGTCCCTTAATTTCAACCATATTGTTTGCTCTGAATGTAAGCGTTTATACTGTTAAGAAAAATAAAAATTGGTTTTAAGAAAATAAAAATTGGTTTTGTTCAGTTTGGGAGTTTTATTTTCACCCAAAAGCCAACAACAGAGAAAGCCATCCTCCACTGTGTATATCTACAAAGTATGTGTAGAAAATCTAGCATAAAGAACAGTAATCTCTCCCACTTCCTCCAAAAGTTGGAAGGCTGCACTGAAATTGCCCATACAGTGAAAGCACAACTACCACATGTTTATAAATTCATGAAGACAAATAAAATATGTAAATAAAGCCTGCACTACAAAAAATAGCCACATAGGGCAAGACCCTTTGTTACTTCTGACATTTCTACAGAATGAAATCACATTTCTTATTCTATTTAAAATTAATGAAGATGCACAACACATGTTTAACACTGACATATCACCCGTAGTAAATTGACACCCATCAAAAAAGCAAACATATAGAGCAGGCAAAACCAACTCCATATAGCCAAATAGGTTGTGGCTGTGTACTAATCCTGCATGTATTGCCACTCATGACAGGGACCTCAAGCTATTAGAAATGCTCTCAGGTAAATTTGTCTTCCTCACTGAAACTGATAGTTCCATTTCTTAAATCATAATGAATAATATTAATCATGTGACTTTTGAGTTCCGCTATTTTTATAGTGTTCTGTCTCATAGCCCACAAGGGGCGCATCCAGATGAGCCCACATGTGCCTCTTGCAGCATCTCCAACCCTCTGAGACATTGCAAGAGGCACGTGCAGAAACAGAAAAAGGTTCCCCCCATTGCAACTTTGCAGCGCAGGGGAAAAACTAGACCTCTGAATATCCTGGGGTCTAAAAAAAAACAGTTAAAAAAAGTGGGGCAGCCAGAGGCTGGGTCCTCCACAGAGACACTGGCTGCCAGAGCGTTTCTGTGGTTGGCCCTCACTGTGGTGCTAAAGCAGCAGGGCTTCAGTGCTGGTAAGGGATTGGGGGGGCTGGAGGGGGGGATCCCAGCTGGCCCTGCCTACTCCCCGAGCCCCACCCCCAGCCCTGCCCTGCTGGACCCCATCCTCTGCCTGCCCCCCAAGCACCCCCAACCCC